TTAGTTAATAAATTAAAATAAGTTAATAAACTGATTTTTTTTCAAATATTATTTAAAAAAAATTAATACTTTAATAATTTTTATGAAGACAATAACCACAGCTAATAAGTCAAGATTCTTTTGTAGACAAAATTGCAAGCTAGATGGTAAGTTAATAATACCGCGTGGAAGATAAGGGGCCAATTAATTGCTCTTGGTGTTAACAAATCTTGTCATTTTTGTCCATAGACTAGTAAGTTGTAATGTAATGTATGTGATGGAAAAAATAAAGAGAAGAAAACTATAAAGATATATGAAAAAAGAAAGAGTTTCTTTCTTAATTTTATTTATTTATAGGCATGTACAAGAAAATATTTTATGGTATAAAATCAATTAACCTAATTACATCAATCAATTATAATGTGAACCCAATCAATATAATTATAATACGAATATTTTATAACATCTCCCTTTAAACTCAAGGTGGTGATGAGGAAACTAGTTTGAGTTTGGAAAGAAGAGTGCGGAAGCGTCAAAGAAAATGAGTTTTTGGTGAAAACATCTACATACTGAATATGTAGATTGGTGCAGTTGACATCGTTGGAGGAGAGGGAGGTAATATCATATCTGGGCAATAGCAATATTGAAAGTTTAGCTGCGAGAAATCAAGAGCAAAATCAGTTGCAAGAAATCAAGAGCAAAATCAACGACAATTAGATGCGAGAAGGTTGGAGCAACACTAGCGGTGGGAGTAACATGTGTTGTTGGCGTAACAAAGGAATAGGATCAAGAAAATCCAATTGCAGATAAGTCCAAGAAAGAAAGCAAAGATGATGATGATCGGCACCACCTACAAGCAAAGTAGCAACTCACAAAGGAAATGAACAATAATAGTAAAAAAACCTCGAGGCTCTATTAACATGAAAAAAAAAAATAAAGAGAAAAAAAATATAAAGATATATGAAGAAAGAAACTCTTTCTTTATTAATTTCATTTATTTATAAGCCTATACAAGAAAATATTTTATGGTACAAAATTAATTAACTTAATTATATCAATTAATTATAATATAAATCCAATCAATATAATTATAATATAAATATTCTATACCAGTATGAGCCATCCACATTCAAGCGGGGATAGCTCAGTTGGGAGAGCGTCAGACTGAAGATCTGAAGGTCGCGTGTTCGATCCACGCTCACCGCAACTAATTTGTTTTTATTTTTGTTTTCATTCAGAATGAACAGCAGCTGGGTCGAAGATTATTTTTTAGCAACACAAGAGCCCAAAGAGTTATTTTTTGGCATTTGAACATTGCTAACAGCAACAGAATATGGTTACAAAATTACTTCATAAAATTATGAACACAGAAACAGGGATAGCTCAGTTTTGATTTGCTGAAATTGAAGAAGTTTATGCATTCAGTTTTTGCATAGATTTGCTGCTTTTCATGTCGGATGATCTTGGGGGCACACTAGCGTAACCAACAAGGCTCAGTGTGGCTCCGAAATTTCCACTTCTACAATCAACAACTTACCAATTCTTTATTTGTATTACATTGATTAAGATTCTCAAATTTGCTTCCTCTCTCAGCTA